ACACTACACAGACACACAGATACACACAAAGACACACAAAGACACACACAGACACACACAGACACTCACACAGACACTCACACACACAGACGCACACTCACAGACACACAGACACACACACAGACACACACGGACACACACAGACACACACGGACACACACAGATACGCACAGATACGCACACACGCACACACACAGACACACTCACACAGACACACTCACACAGACAGACACACAGACAGACACACACACAGACACACTCACACAGACACACTCACACAGACACACTCACACAGACACACTCACACAGACACACTCACACAGACAGACACACAGACAGACACACTGACACACTGACACACACACAGACACACAGATACACACAAAGACACTCACACAGACACTCACACAGACACACTCACACACACAGACGCACACAGACACTCACACACACACACTCACACAGACACACAGACACACACACAGACACACACAGACACACACACAGACACACACAGACAGACACACTCACACAGACACACTCACACAGACAGACACACAGACAGACACACAGACAGACACTGACACACACACTGACACACACACTGACACACACACTTACACACACACTTACACACACAGACACACAGATACACACAAAGACACACACAGACACTCACACAGACACACTCACACACCGCACACTCACACAGACACACAGACACACAGACACACACAGACACACAGACACACACAGACACACAGATACGCACACACGCACTCACACACACGCACTCACACAGACACACTCACACAGACACACTCACACAGACACACAGACAGACACACAGACAGACACACTGACACACTGACACACACACAGACACACAGATACACACAGATACACACAGATACACTCACACAGACACACTCACACACCGCACACTCACACAGACACACAGACACACTCACACAGACACTCACACAGACACACTCACACAGACACACTCAGACAGACACACAGACAGACACACTTACACACACACAGACACACACACTTACACACACACAGACACACTCAGACAGACACACACAGACACACACACAGACACACACAGACACTCACACACAGAGGCAAAGGTCTCCCGTGTAGCCTGCAAGAGGTTACTGGGGCAAGTGCTGTTAGTAGCAGCAGCACAGACAAAGGTCCCCCAGGTAGCCTCTAACAGACAAGTTGGGGCAAGTGCTGTCAGTAGCGAGTAGCAGCAGTGCCTACGCACACAGACAAAGGTCCCCCAGGTAGCCTCTAACAGACAAGTTGGGGCAAGTGCTGTCAGTAGCAGCACCTACACACACAGACAAAGGTCCCCCAGGTAGCCTCAAACAGACCGTTGGGGCAAGTGCTGTCAGTAGCAGCACCTACACACACAGACAAAGGTCCCCCAGGTAGCCTCTAACGGACATGTTGGGGCAAGTGCTGTCAGTAGCGAGTAGTAGCAGTGCCTACACACAGACAAAGGTCCCCCAGGTAGCCTCTAACAGGCAAGTTGGGGCAAGTGCTGTCAGTAGCGAGTAGCAGCAGTGCCTACACACAGACAGGTCCCCCAGGTAGCCTCTAACAGACAAGTTGGGGCAAGTGCTGTCAGGAGCGAGTAGCATCAGTGCCAACACACAAAGGTCCCCCAGGTAGCCTCTAACAGACAAGTTGGGGCAAGTGCTGTCAGTAGCGATTAGAAACAGCAGCAGTGCCTACACACACAGACAAAAGTCCCCCAGGTAGCCTCTAACAGACAAGTTAGGGCAAGTGCTGTCAGGAGCGAGTAGCAGCAGCAGTGCCTGTGGTTGTTGTTTGTGTGGCCACCACCACCCATGCCTGCCCGGCCGCCTTTGTCTCCCCAGGGGCTGTTCAATCTCCCACTTAGCCACTCACCCACTTAGCCAGTTACCCACTTAGTCACTCGCCCACTCGCTCACTCACCCACTCACCCACATGCTCACCCACTTAGCCACTCACCTATTCGCTCATCCACTCGCTCGCCCATACGCTCACCCACTCACTCACCCACACACTTGCCCACTCAATCACTCGCCCACTCACTCGCCCACTCACTCGCCCACTCACTCACCCACACTCACCCACTCGGTCACTCACCCACACACTCGCCCACTCGCTCACTCACTCACTCACACACTCGCCCACTCACTCGCCCATTCACTCGCCCACTTGCTCACTCACCCACATTCACCCACACACTCGCTCACTCGCCCACTCACTCACCCACTCACTCACCCACTCACTCACCCATACACTCGCTCACTCACCCACTCACTCACCCACTCACCCACACACTCACCCACACACTCGCCCACTCACTCACCCACACACTCGCCCACTCACTCACCCACACACTCGACCACTCGCATGCTCACCCAACTACTTAGATGAAGAACTCGTTTGTATTTTACCGTGATGATTATGATGAGAGACACGCAAATATACAGCAGCAGGCGTCAGGGTCTGGGTCGAACCCACGACCTCCTGTATATCAGGCGAGGGCGTTAACATCTCCTCGCCAACGTGGCGCCTCTAATTACTCACCCTGCCCTTTGGCTGCTGTGTGAGTTCACGTTCAGTACAGACCCCACGTCAAACCGGTCCTGTCACTCACCCCACCACTCACTCACCCACTCTCTCGCTCACTCTCTCGCTCACTCACCCACTCTTCCACCCACCCACCCACTCACTCATCCACCCACTCACTCATCCACCCACTCACCCACTCACTATCTCACTCACCCACTCAGTCGCTCACTCACCCACTCACTCACCCATTCACCCACCCACTCACCCACCCACTCACCCACTCTCTCGCTCACTCACCCACTCATCCACCCACTTACCCACTCACTCACCCACCCACTCACCAACTCTCTCGCTCACTCACCCACTCATCCACCCACTCACCAACTCACCCACTCTCACGCTCACCTACCCACTCACTCGGCCACCCCCTCCCTCCCTCTCTCCCTCCCTCCCCCGAATGAATGAATGGGTGAGCGAGCGAGCGAGAGTACGAATGGGTGACTGAGTGAGCGAGTGAGTGGGTAAGCGAGCGAGTGAATGCATGGGTGAGTGAGCGAGCGAGTGAGTGAGTGGGTGAGTGGGCGGACGAGTGAGTGAGTGGGTGAGTGAGTGAGCGAGCCAGAGAACGAGTTGGTGAGTGAACGAGCGGGCGGGTGGGTGGGTGAGTGAGCGAGTGGGTGAGTGAGCGAGTGGGTGAGTGAGCGAGTGGGTGAGTGAGTGGGTGAGTGAGCGGGCGAGTTGGTGAGCGGGCGGGTGAGTGAGTGGGTGAGCGAGTGAGTGGGTGAGTGGGCGAGCGAGTGAGTGAGTGGGTGAGTGGGCGAGCGAGTGAGTGAGTGGGTGAGTGAGTGAGCGAGCCAGAGAACGAGTTGGTGAGTGAATGAGCGGGCGGGTGAGTGAGCGAGTGGGTGAGTGAGTGGGTGAGTGAGCGAGTGAGTGAGTGAGCGGGCGGGCGAGTGAGTGATTGAGCCAGAGAACGAGTTGATGAGTGAGCGAGCGGGCGAGTTGGTGAGCGGGCGGGTGAGTGAGTGGGTGAGCGAGTGAGTGGGTGAGTGGGCGAGCGAGTGAGTGAGTGGGTGAGTGAGTGGGTGAGTGAGCGAGTGAGTGAGTGAGCGGGCGGGCGAGTGAGTGATTGAGCCAGAGAACGAGTTGATGAGTGAGTGAGTGGGTGAGTGAGTGGGTGAGCGAGTGAGTGGGTGAGCGAGTGAGCGGGCGGGCGGGTGAGTGAGTGAGTGGGTGAGCGGGCGGGCGGGTGAGCGAGTGGGTGAGTGAGTTGGTGAGTGAGTTGGTGAGTGAGCGTCTCACCCACCCAGCCCTGCAACCCTCCCACACGCCGCTCACGCCCCGTGCAGGAATCCAACCTTGGGCCCAGCACCCCGCGGTGTCTCGCAGCCCTACGTGGTCAGGGCAGATGTGGTGAGCGAGTGGGTGAGTGAACGGGTGAGTGCGTGGGTGAGTGCGTGGGTGAGTGCGTGGGTGAGTGAGCGGGTGAGTGAGCGGGTGAGTGAGCGGGTGAGTGAGCGGGTGAGTGCGCGGGTGAGTGAGCGGGTGAGTGCGCGGGTGAGTGCGCGGGTGAGTGCGCGGGTGAGTGCGCGGGTGAGTGCGCGGGTGAGTGAGCGGGTGAGTGAGCGGGTGAGTGCGTGGGTGAGTGCGTGGGTGAGTGATTGGGTGAATGGGTGAGTGAGTGGGTGAGTGATTGGGTAAAGGAATGGGTGAGTGAACGGGTGAGTGATTGAGTGAGTGCACGGGTGAGTGCACGGGTGAGTGGGTGGGTGGGTGAGTGGGTGAGTGGGTAAATGGGTGAGTGGGTGAATGGGTGAGTGAATGGAGGAGTAAGAGGGTGAATTGGTGGGTGAGTGGCTGAGTGAATGTGTGAGTGAGTGAAGGGCTCACTGAGTTAGCGAGTGAGTGAATGCATTAATGGGTGATTGAGTGAGCTATTTGAGTGAGTGGGTGAGTGAATAAGTAGGAGTGCACGTGGGTTACGTGCTCACTGACTCACCCACCCACTCACTCACCCACTCACTCACCCATCCACACACTCACTCACCCTCTCACTCACCCATGCACCCACCCACTCACTCACCCACTCACTCACTCACTCACCCATCCACCCACTCACTCACCCTTTCACTCACCCACCCACTCACCCACTCACCCACTCACTCACCCATCCATCCACCCACCCACTCACTCACCCTCTCACTCACTCATCCTCTCACCCTCTCACTCACTCACCCACCCACTCACCCATCCACCCATCCACCCACCCACTCACCCACCCACTCACCCACCCACTCACCCACCCACTCACTCACCCACCCACTCACTCACTCTCACCCACCCACTCATTTATCCACCAACTCACCCACTCACCCACTCACCCACCCCCCCTCCCCTCGCCCCCTCCCCTCGATCACATGACCCACGTGGACAGGATAATCCAGTGGCTGGTGGGTCACGTGGTGGGCTGATCCCCCCCCCCCCACCACGAGCCGGGGAGCGGTGGCGCAGCGGTTAGCGCAGCCGAGTTGGACTCCCGTCGCCACAACCGCCACAACAATCACCACAACCACCACAACAACGGGTAGTGGTGGTGGTGTAATAGTGGTGGTGGTGTAGTGGTGGTGTAGTAGTGGTGGTGGTAGTGGTGGTGGTAGTGGTGGTGGTGGGGTGTTGGTGGTATTACGGTGGTGGTGGTGGTATTACGGTGGTGGTGGTGTAGTGGTGGTGGTGTTGTAGTTGTGGTGGTGTTGTAGTTGTGGTGTGGTGGTGGTGGTTTAGTGGTGGAGTGGTGGTGTAGTAGTGGTGTGGTGGTGTAGTGGTGGTGATGCAGTAGTGGTGGTGGTGTAGTGGTGTAGTGGTGGTGGTGATGCAGTAGTGGTGTAGTGTTGGTGGTGGTGTAGTGTTGGTGGTGGTGTAGTGTTGGTGGTGGTGTAGTGTTGGTGGTGTAGTGGTGTAGTGGTGGTGGTGGTGTTGTCGTAGTGGTGGAGGCTACCTGGGTGAGCTGAGTATGTACTATAATGAGCACTTGCCCCTACAGCCCTGCTAGAGGCTACCTGGGTGAGCTGAGTATGTACAATAATGAGCACTTGCCCCTACAGCCCTGCTAGAGGCTACCTGGGTGAGCTGAGTATGTACAATAATGAGCACTTGCCCCTACAGCCCTGCTAGAGGCTACCTGGGTGAGCTGAGTATGTACAATAATGAGCACTTATCCCTACAGCCCTGCTAGAGGCTACCTGGGTGAGCTGAGTACGTACAATAATGAGCACTTGCCCCTACAGCCCTGCTAGAGGCTACCTGGGAGATCTTTGCCTTGACCCCTCGGCCCTGCCACTGGGAGTGAATAATTGAGGCGTTCCACTATTGCTGCCATTGTGTGCAGCTCTGCTGAGATTACAGAGATGGCGCTGATACGGCGTGTCTAGGATTACAGGGTGGGTGGGTGGTTGGGTGGGTGGGTGGGTGAGTGGGTGGGTGAGTGGGTGAGTGGGTGGGTGAGTGGTGGGTGAGTGGGTGAGTGGGTGGGTGAGTGGGTGAGTGGGTGGGTGAGTGGGTGAGTGGGTGGGTGGGTGGGTGAGTGAGTGGGTGGGTGGGTGGGTGAGTGGGTGAGTGGGTGGGTGAGTGGGTGGATGAGTGGGTGAGTGGGTGGATGAGTGGGTGAGTGGGTGGATGAGTGGGTGAGTGGGTGGATGAGTGGGTGAGTGGGTGGATGAGTGGGTGGGTGAGTGGGTGGGTGAGTGGATGAGTGAGTGGGTGGGTGGTTGAGTGGGTGAGTGGGTGGTTGGGTGAGTGGTTGGGTGGGTGAGTGGGTTGGTGGTTGGGTGGGTGGTTGGGTGGGTGAGTGGGTTGGTGGTTGGGTGGGTGGTTGGGTGAGTGGGTGGGTGAGTGGGTGGGTGGGTGGGTGGGTGAGTGGGTGGGTGGGTGGGTGGGTGAGTGGGTGGGTGGGTGGGTGAGTGGGTGGGTGGGTGGGTGAGTGGGTGGGTGGGTGGGTGGGTGGGTGAGTGAGTGGGTGGGTGGGTGGGTGAGTGGGTGGGTGGGTGAGTGGGTGGGTGGGTGAGGTGAGTGGGTGGGTGGTTGGTCGGGTGGATGAGTGGGTGGGTGGTTGGGTGGGCGAGCGGGTGGGTGGGCGAGCGGGTGGGTGGGTGGGCGAGCGGGTGGGTGGGTGTTTGGGTGAGTGGGTGGTTGAGTGAGTGGTTGGGTGGGTGGATGAGTGGGTGGATGGGTGGGTGAGTGAGTGGGTGGTTGGGTGGGTGGGTGAGTGGGTGAGTGGGTAGTTGGGTGGGTGGGTGAGTGGGTGGGAAGTTGGGTAGGTGAGTGGGTGATTGGGTGGGTGAGTGGGTGGTTGGGTGGGTGGTTGGGTGGGTGGGTGGGTGGATGGGTGAGTGAGTGAGTGGTTGGGTGGGTGGCTGGGTGGTTGGGTGGGTGGGTGGGTGGATGAGTGGGTGGGTGGGTGGGTGGTTGGGTGGGCGGGTGGGCGAGTGGGTGGTTGGGTGGGCGAGTGGGTGGGTGGTTGGGTGGGCGAGTGGGTGGTTGGGTGGGTGAGTGGGTGGGTGAGTGGGTGGGTGAGTGGGTGAGTGGGTGGGTGGGTGGTTGGGTGGGTGAGTGGGTGAGTGGGTGGTTGGGTGGTTGGGTGGGTGAGTGGGTGGTTGGGTGGATAGCTGAGTGAGTGGGTGGTTGGGTGGATAGCTGAGTGAGTGGGTGGTTGGGTGGGTGGGTGGGTGGTTGGGTGGATGAGTGGTTGAGTGAGCGAGTGGGTGGGTGAGTGGGCGGGTGAGTGGGTGGGTGGGTGGGTGAGTAGTGGGTGGGTGGGTGAGTGGTTGAGTGAGTGGGTGGTTGGTTGGGTGGGTGGGTGGGTGAGTGGGTGGTTGGGTGGTTGGGTGGGTGAGTGGGTGAGTAGTGGGTGGGTGAGTGGGTGGGTGAGTGGGTGGTTGGGTGGGTGGGTGGGTGAGTAGTGGGTGGGTGAGTGGGTGGGTGGGTGGGTGGGTGGGTGAGTAGTGGGTGGGTGGGTGAGTAGTGGGTGGGTGGTTGAGTGAGTGGGTGGTTGGGTGGTTGGGTGAATGGCTGAGTGAGTGGGTGGTTGGGTGGATGGGTGAGTGGTTGAGTGAGTGGGTGGTTGGGTGGGTGAGTAGTGGGTGGGTGGGTGGGTGAGTGGTTGAGTTAGTGGGTGGGTGGGTGGTTGGGTGGGTGAGTAGGTGGGTGAGTGAGTGGTTGAGTGGGTGGGTGGGTGGTTGGGTGAGTGAGTGGTTGAGTGGGTGGGTGGTTGGGTGAGTGAGTGGTTGAGTGGGTGGGTGGGTGGTTGGGTGAGTGAGTGGTTGAGTGGGTGGGTGGGTGAGTGAGTGGTTGGGTGAGTGGGTGGTTGGGTGGGTGAGTGGTTGGGTGGGTGGGTGAGTGAGTGGTTGAGTGGGTGGGTGAGTGGGTGGGTGAGTGGTTGAGTGGGTGGGTGGGTGGGTGAGTGAGTGGTTGGGTGAGTGGGTGGTTGGGTGGGTGAGTGGTTGATTGGGTGGGTGGGTGAGTGAGTGGTTGAGTGAGTGGTTGAGTGGGTGGGTGAGTGGGTGGGTGAGTGGTTGAGTGGGTGGGTGGGTGAGTGAGTGGTTGGGTGAGTGGGTGGTTGGGTGGGTGAGTGTTTGAGTGGGTGAGTGAGTGGTTGAGTGAGTAGGTGGTGAGTTAGTGGGTGGGTGGGTGGGTGAGTGGTTGAGTGGGTGGGTGGGTGAGTGGGTGGTTGGGTGAGTGGGTGGGTGGGTGAGTGAGTGGTTGAGTGAGTGAGTGGGTGGTTGGGTGAGTAGGTGGTGAGTGAGTGTGTGGGGGAGCTTTGTGGCAATTATCTGAACCGGTCCTGGGCCTCTCCGAGGTTGTGTCGTAAACATCGCCACTGGGGAGACAAAGGCGGCCGTGCCGGCCTTAATAGGTGCTCGCTAACAGCACTTGTCTGTGTGTGTCTGTCTATCGGTGTGTGTGTCTCCCTCACCCCGTGTCTCTCTAACCCCGTGTCTCCCTCACCCCGTGGTGTGTCTCTAACCCCTTGTCTCCCTGACCCCTGACCCCGTGTCTCTAACCCACGTGTCTCCCTGACCCCTGACCCCCGTCCCTCCCTCACCCACGTGGTGTCTCTCTAACTCACGTGTCTACCTGACCCCTGACCCCTGACCCCCGTGTCTCCCTCACCCCGTGTCTCCCTCACCCTGTGTCTCCCTCGCCCTGTGTCTCCCTCGCCCAGTGTCTCCCTCACCCTGTGTCTCCCTCACCCAGTGTCTCCCTCACCCAGTGTCTCCCTCACCCTGTGTCTCCCTCGCCCCGTGTCTCCCTCACCCCGTGTCTCTCTAACCCCGTGTCTCCCTCACCCCGTGTCTCCCTCGCCCCGTGTCTTCCTCACCCCGTGTCTCTCTAACCCCGTGTCTCTCTCGCCCCGTGTCTCCCTCGCCCCGTGTCTCCCTCGCCCCGTGTCTTCCTCACCCCGTGTCTCCCTCACCCCGTGTCTCCCTCGCCCCGTGTCTCCCTCGCCCCGTGTCTTCCTCACCCCGTGTCTCTCTAACCCCGTGTCTCTCTCACCCCGTGTCTCCCTCGCCCCGTGTCTCCCTCACCCCGTGTCTCCCTCGCCCCGTGTCTCCCTCGCCCCGTGTCTTCCTCACCCCGTGTCTCTCTAACCCCGTGTCTCTCTAACCCCGTGTCTCCCTCACCCCGTGTCTCTCTCACCCCGTGTCTCCCTCACCCCGTGTCTCCCTCACCCCGTGTCTCCCTCACCCCGTGTCTCCCTCGCCCCGTGTCTCCCTCACCCCGTGTCTCACTCACCCCTGACCCCCGTGTCTCCCTCGCCCCGTGTCTCCCTCACCCGCGTCTCCCTCACCCCGTGGTGTCTCCCTCACCCCGTGTCTCCCTCACTCCGTGTCTCTCTCACCAACGTGTCTCCCTCACCCCGCGTCTCCCTCACCCCGTGTCTCTCTCACCAACGTGTCTCCCTAACCCCGTGTCTCTCTCACCTTGTGTCTCCCTGACCCCTGACCCCTGACCCCGTGTCTCTAACCCACGTGTCTCCCTGACCCCTGACCCCCGTGTCTCCCTCACCCACGTGTCTGCCTGACCCCTGACCCCCCGTGTGATCACAGTACCAGGTGGGGCAGCTGTACGCAGTCGCCGAGGCGAGTAAGAACGAGACGGGGGGCGGCGAGGGGATCCAGGTTCTCAAGAACGAGCCGTACGAGAAGGACGGAGAGCGGGGGCAGTACACGCACAAGATCTACCATGTGCAGAGGTGATACTCACCACTACTCACCACTACTACTCACCACTACTCACCACTACTCACCAGCGCTACTCACCACCACTACTCACCACTACTCCTCACCACCACAGTACACGCACAAGATCTACCATGTGCAGAGGTGATACTCACCACTACTCACCACTACTCACCACTACTACTCACTACTACTCACCAATACTCACCACTACTCACCGCCACTACTCACCACTACTACTCACTACTACTCACCACTACTCACCACCTACTCACTACCACTACTCACTACTACTCACCACTACTACTCACTACTCACCACTACTCACCACCACTACTCACCACTACTCACTACTACTACTCACTACTACTCACTACTACTACTCACTACTACTACTACTACTACTCACCACTACTCACTACTACTCGCCACTACTCACCACTACTACTCACCACTACTCACCACTACTACTCACCACTACTACTCACTACTACTCACCACTACTACTCACCACTACTACTCACTACTACTCACTACTACTACTCACTACTACTACTACTCACTACTACTCACCACTACTCACTACTACTACTCACTACTACTCACCACTACTCACCACTACTCACTACTACTACTCACCACTACTCACTACTACTACTCACTACTACTACTCACTACTACTCACCACTACTACTCACTACTACTCACCACTACTCACTACTACTCACTACTACTCACCACTACTCACCACTACTCACCACTACTCACCACCACTACTCACCACTACTCACCACTACTCACCACTACTACTCACCACTACTACTCACCACCACTACTACTCACCACCACTACTACTCACCACTACTACTCACCACCACTACTCACCACTACTACTCACTACTACTCACTACCACTACTCACCACCACTACTCACCACTACTCACTACTACTCACCACTACTCACCACTACTACTCACCACTACTACTCACTACTACTCACTACTACTACTCACCACTATTCACCACTACTACTCACCACTACTACTCACTACTACTCACTACTACTACTCACTACTACTCACCACCGCTACTCACCACCACTACTCACCACCACTACTCACCACCACTACTCACCACCACTACTCACCACCACTACTCACCACTACTCACTACTACTCACCACCACTACTCACCACCACTACTCACCACCACTACTCACCACCACTACTCACCACTACTCACCACTACTACTCACTACTACTCACCACTACTACTCACTACTACTCACCACCACTACTCACTACTACTCACCACCACTACTCACCACTACTACTCACCACTACTACTCACCACTACTACTCACTACTACTCACCACTACTACTCACTACTACTCACCACTACTACTCACTACTACTCACCACTACTACTCACCACTACTACTCACCACTACTCACCACTACTACTCACCACTACTCACCACTACTACTCACTACTACTCACTACTACTCACCACTACTCACTACTACTACTCACCACTACTCACCACTACTACTCACTACTACTACTCACTACTACTCACCACTACTACTCACTACTACTCACCACTACTACTCACCACTACTCACCACTACTACTCACTACTACTCACTACTACTCACTACTACTACTCACCACTACTCACCACTACTACTCACCACTACTCACCACTACTACTCACTACTACTACTCACTACTACTCACCACTACTACTCACTACTACTCACCACTACTACTCACCACTACTCACCACTACTACTCACTACTACTCACTACTACTCACTACTACTACTCACCACTACTCACCACTACTACTCACCACTACTACTCACTACTACTCACCACTACTACTCACTACTACTCACCACTACTACTCACCACTACTACTCACCACTACTCACTACTACTACTCACCACTACTCACCACTACTACTCACTACTACTACTCACCACTACTACTCACCACTACTACTCACCACTACTCACCACTACTACTCACCACTACTACTCACTACTACTCACCACTACTACTCACCACCACTACTCACCACTACTACTCACCACCACTACTCACCACCACTACTCACCACCACTACTCACCACTACTACTCACCACTACTCACCACTACTAACCACTACTACTCACCACTACTCACCACTACTCACCACTACTACTCACCACCACTACTACTCACCACTACTCACCACTACTCACCACTACTCACCACCACTACTCACCACTACTACTCACCACCACTACTCACTACTATTCACCACTACTCACTACTACTCACCACTACTCACTACTACTCACCACTACTCACTACTACTCACCACTACTACTCACTACTACTCACCACTACTCACCACTACTCACCACTACTACTCACCACTACTACTCACCACTACTCACTACTACTCACCACTACTACTCACTACTACTCACCACTACTCACCACCACTACTCACTACTACTCACCACTACTACTCACTACTACTCACCACTACTCACTACTACTCACCACCACTACTCACTACTACTCACCACTACTACTCACTACTACTCACCACTACTCACCACTACTACTCACCACTACTACTCACTACTACTCACCACTACTCACTACTACTCACCACTACTACTCACTACTACTCACCACTACTCACCACTACTCACCACTACTACTCACCACTACTACTCACCACCACTACTACTCACCACTACTACTCACCACCACTACTCACTACTACTCACCACTACTCACTACTACTCACCACCACTACTCACTACTACTCACCACTACTACTCACTACTACTCACCACTACTCACCACCACTACTCACCACTACTACTCACTACTACTCACCACTACTCACTACTACTCACCACTACTACTCACTACTACTCACCACTACTCACCACTACTCACCACTACTACTCACCACTACTACTCACCACTACTACTACTCACCACTACTCACCACCGCTACTCACCACCACTACTCACCACCACTACTCACCACCACTACTCACCACCACTACTCACCACCACTACTCACCACCACTACTCACCACTACTACTCACCACCACTACTCACCACCGCTACTCACCACCACTACTCACCACCACTACTCACCACCACTACTCACCACCACTACTCACCACCACTACTCACCACCACTACTCACCACCACTACTCACCACCACTACTCACCACCACTACTCACCACCACTACTCACCACCGCCACTCACCACCGCTACTCACCACCGCTACTCACCACCGCTACTCACCACCGCTACTCACCACCGCTACTCACCACCACTACTCACCACCACTACTCACCACCACTACTCACCACCACTACTCACCACCGCTACTCACCACTACTACTCACCACCACTACTCACCACCACTCACCACCACCACCACTCACCACCACTACTCACCACTACTACTCACCACTACTACTCACCACCACTACTCACCACTACTACTCACCACCACTACTCACCACCACTACTCACCACCACTACTCACCACCGCTACTCACCACCGCTACTCACCACCGCTACTCACCACCGCTACTCACCACCGCTACTCACCACCGCTACTCACCACCGCTACTCACCACCGCTACTCACCACCGCTACTCACCACCGCTACTCACCACTACTACTCACCACTACTACTCACCACTACTACTCACCACTACTACTCACCACCACTACTCACCACCACTACTCACCACCACTACTCACCACCACTACTCACCACCGCTACTCACCACCGCTACTCACCACCGCTACTCACCACTACTACTCACCACTACTACTCACCACTACTACTCACCACTACTACTCACCACCACTACTCACCACCGCTACTCACCACCACTACTCACCACTACTACTCACCACTACTACTCACCACCACTACTCACCACCGCTACTCACCACCACTACTCACCACTACTACTCACCACTACTACTCACCACCACTACTCACCACCGCTACTCACCACCACTACTCACCACCACTACTCACCACTACTACTCACCACCACTACTCACCACCACTACTCACCACCACCACCACCACTCACCACCACTACTCACCACTACTACTCACCACTACTCACTACTACTCACCACCACCACTCACCACCACCACTCACCACCACCACTCACCACCACCACTCACCACCACTACTCACCACCGCTACTCACCACCGCTACTCACCACCGCTACTCACCAGCGCTACTCACCACCGCTACTCACCACCGCTACTCACCACTACTACTACTCACCACCACTACTCACCACTACTACTCACCACTACTACTCACCACTACTACTCACCACCACTACTCACCACTACTACTCACCACCGCTACTCACCACCACTACTACTCACCACCACTACTCACCACTACTACTCACCACCACTACTCACCACCGCCACTCACCACTACTACTCACCACCACTACTCACCACTACTACTCACCACCACTACTCACCACTACTACTCACCACCACTACTACTCACCACTACTACTCACCACTACTACTCACCACTACTACTCACCACCGCTACTCACCACCACTACTCACCACTACTACTCACCACTACTACTCACCACTACTACTCACCACCACTACTCACCACCACTACTCACCACTACTACTCACCACCACTACTCACCACTACTACTCACCACCGCCACTCACCACCGCCACTCACCACCGCCACTCACCACTACTACTCACCACCGCCACTCACCACCGCCACTCACCACCGCCACTCACCACCACTGCTCACCACCGCCACTCACCACCGCCACTCACCACCGCTACTCACCACCGCTACTCACCACCACTGCTCACCACCGCCACTCACCACCGCCACTCACCACCACTACTCACCACCACTGCTCACCACCGCCACTCACCACCACTGCTCACCACCGCCACTCACCACCGCCACTCACCACCGCCACTCACCACCGCTACTCACCACCGCTACTCACCACCGATACTCACCACTGATACTCACCACCACTACTCACCACCGCTCCTCACCACTGATACCACTGATACCACCGCTACTCACCACTACTGACCACCGCTGCTCACCACTAGTACTCACTTCGAGCCCCCCCCTGTGCCCCCCCCTTGCCTCCCCCCCTTGCCCCCCCCCTGCCCCCCCCTTGCCCCCCCCCTGCCCCCCCCGGCGTGAGTGAGCAGCAAGGTTCCGCGCTTTGTGAGGATGTTGGCTCCGGGCGGCTCGCTGGTGTTTCACGAGAAGGCCTGGAATGCCTACCCCTACTGCCGTACCAGTTAGTCACCCACATAGTCACCCACACAGTTAGTCACCCACTTAGTCACCCACACAGTTAGTCACCCACTTAGTCACCCACACAGTTAGTCACCCACTTAGTCACGAGAAGGCCTGGACCGCCTACCCCTACTGCCGTACCAGTTAGTCACCCACATAGTCACCCACACAGTTAGTCACCCACTTAGTCACCTACACAGTTAGTCACCCACATAGTCACCCACACAGTCACCCACTTAGCCACCCACACAGTTAGTCACCCACTTAGTCACGAGAAGGCCTGGAACGCCTACCCCTACTGCCGTACCAGTTAGTCACCCACATAGTCACCCAGCTAGTCACCCACATAGTCACTCACCTACCCCTACTGCCGTACCAGTTAGTCACCCACTTAGTCACCCAGTTAGTCACCCAGCTAGTCACCCAGTTAGTTAGTCACCCAGTTAGTCACGAAGGCCTGGAACGCCTACCCCTACTGCCGTACCAGTTAGTCACCCACTTAGTTAGTCACTCACATAGTCACCCAGTTAGTCACTCACCTACCCCTACTGCCGTACCAGTTAGTCACCCACCCAGTTAGTCACCCAGTTAGTCACCCAGTTAGTCACCCAGTTAGTCACTCAGCTAGTCACTCATCTAGTCACCCAGTTAGTCACTCAGACACTCACCTACCCCTACTGCCGTACCAGTTAGTCACCCACATAGTCACCCAGCTAGTCACTCAGTTAGTCACCCACATAGTCGCCCAGCTAGTCACTCACATAGTCACCCACATAGTCACCCAGTTAGTCACCTAGTCAGTTAGTCACTCAGACACTCACCTACCCCTACTGCCGTACCAGTTAGTCACCCAGCTAGTCACCCAGCTAGTCACCCAGTTAGTCACTCAGACGCTCACCTACCCCTACTGCCGTACCAGTTAGTCAACCAGCTAGTCACCCAGCTAGTCACCCAGTTAGTCACTCAGACACTCACCTACCCCTACTGCCGTACCAGTTAGTCACCCACGCAGTTAGTTAGTCACTCACATAGTCACCCAGTTAATCAGTCACCTAGTCAGTTAGTCACTCATCTAGTCACCCAGTTAGTCACTCACCCAGTCACTCACCTACCCCTACTGCCATACCAGTTAGTCACCCACCCAGTTAGTCACCCAGTTAGTCACCCAGTTAGTCACCCAGTTAGTTAGCCACTCACCTACCCCTACTGCCGTACCAGTTAGTCACCCAGCTAGTCACCCAGCTAGTCACCCAGTTAGTCACTCAGACGCTCACCTACCCCTACTGCCGTACCAGTTAGTCAACCAGCTAGTCACCCAGCTAGTCACCCAGTTAGTCACTCAGACACTCACCTACCCCTACTGCCGTACCAGTTAGTCACCCACGCAGTTAGTTAGTCACTCACATAGTCACCCAGTTAATCAGTCACCTAGTCAGTTAGTCACTCATCTAGTCACCCAGTTAGTCACTCACCCAGTCACTCACCTACCCCTACTGCTATACCAGTTAGTCACCCACCCAGTTAGTCACCCAGTTAGTCACCCAGTTAGTCACCCAGTTAGTTAGCCACTCACCTACCCCTACTGCCGTACCAGTTAGTCACCCACCCAGTTAGTCACCCACATAGTCACCCAGTCAGTCACCTAGTCAGTTAGTCACTCAGACACTCACCCAGCCACTCACCCAGCCACTCACCCAGTCACCCAGTTAGTTAGACACTCACCCAGTCACTCAGCTACCCCTACTGCCATACCAGTTAGTCACCCACACAGTCACCCAGTTAGTCACCCACATAGTCACCCACATAGTCACTCACTCAGTCACTCACCCAGTCAGTCACCCAACCAGTCACCCAGCCAGTCACCCAGTCACCATTACAGTCAACTAGTAGACTGTGATGATGGTGATGGTGTCGGTGATGATGGCGGTGATGATGGTGGTGATGATGGTGGTGTTGTGGTGGTGACGGTGATGGTGTTGGTGGCGGTGACAGTGACGGTGGTGATGGTGATGGTGGTGGCGGTGGCGGTGGTAGTGATGATGATGGTGGTGGTGTTGTGGCGGTGGTGGTGGTGGTGCTGTTGGTGGTGTTGGTGGCGGTGATGGTGACGGTGTTAATGTTGGTGGTGGTGATGGTGATGATGATGGTGGTGGTGATGGTGGTGATGGTGGTGATGGTGGTGATGGTGGTGATGGTGATGGTGATGATGATGGTGGTGGTGATGGTGATGATGATGGTGGTGGTGGTGGTGATGGTGGTGATGGTGGTGATGGTGATGGTGATGATGATGGTGGTGGTGATGGTGATGGTGATGATGATGGTGATGGTGATGATGATGGTGGTGGTGGTGATGATGATGGTGGTGATGGTGGTGATGGTGGTGATGGTGGTGATGGTGGTGATGGTGATGGTGATGATGATGGTGGTGGTGATGGTGATGATGATGGTGGTGATGGTGGTGATGGTGGTGATGGTGATGGTGGTGATGGTGGTGATGATGATGGTGGTGGTGATGGTGGTGATGGTGATGATGATGGTGGTGGTGATGGTGAATATAAATCTAATCTTTCTCACTTTGATGTTTTTCCCTCCCTACGCACACACACACACTCACACACACACGTACACACATACATACGCACACACGCACACACTCAAACACATACACACATATATACACACACACATACACACTCACCCACACATACGTGCACACACACGTACACACACACGTATACACACACTCACACTCACTCGCACACATACATACACACATGTACACACATGCGTACACGCACGCACACACGTGTGTGTATCTGTGTGTGTGTACGTGTCTGTGTGTATCTGTGTACGTGTGTGTGTGCGGTTGGATGCTCCGTCTCTCTACTGGGCTCCGTCTCCACCCCAAGTCGTCACCGTAAGTCCACACTCACTGTGTGTGCACGTGTGTGTGTACACGTGTGTGTGTACGTGTGTACACGTGTGTGTGTACGTGTGTACACGTGTGTGTGTGTGTGCGTGTGTGTACGTACGTGTGTCTGTGTGTACGTACGTGTGTCTACCTGGGTGTGTACGTACGTGTCTACCTGTGTGTGTGTGTGTACGTACGTGCGTGACTGTGTACGTACGTCTGCGTGTACGTGTGTCTACCTGTGTGTGTGTGTAGGTGTGTGTGTGTGTACGTGTGTGTGTGTACGTGTGTGTGTTTACGTACGTGTGTGTGTGTGTTTACGTGTGTGTGTACGTACGTATGTGTGTGTACGTACGTATGTGTGTGTACGTACGTATGTGTGTGTACGTACGTGTGTGTGTGTACGTACGTGTGTGTGTGTACGTACGTGTGTGTGTTTACGTACGTGTGTGTGTTTACGTACGTGTGTGTGTGTACGTACGTGTGTGTGTACGTACGTGTGTCTACCTGTGTGTATGCGATGGACCACAACCTCTGTCTGTCTCCCCCCCACCACCAGAATGAGTACATGAAAGACAACTTCCAGTTGAAAATCGAGACCTGGCACAAGCCGGATATGGGGCAGACGGAAAACGTGAGTCCCAACACAGCAGCTCTGTGTCTGTGTGTGTCTGTGTGTCTCTGTGTGTGTCTGTGTGTCTCTGTGTGTGTCTGTGTGTCTCTGTGTGTGTCTGTGTGTGTATGTGTGTGTGTCTGTGTTTCTGTCTGTGTGCGTGTCTGTGTTTCTGTCTGTGTGCGTGTCTGTGCGTGTTTCTGCGTGTGTCTGTGCGTGTGTGTGTGTGTCTGTGTCTGTGTATGTGTCTGTGTGTGTCTCTGTCTCTGTGTGTGTCTGTGTGTGTGTGTCTCTGTGTATGCATGTGTGTGTGTGTCTGTGTCTCTGTGTGTGTGTCTGTGTGTGTGTATGTCTGTGTGTGTCTCTTTGTGTCTGTGTGTGTCTGTCTGTCTGTCTGTGTGTCTGTGTGTGTCTGTGTGTGTCTGTCTGTGTGTCTGTGTGTGTCTCTGTGTGTCTGTGTGTTTGTCTCTGTCTGTGTGTATGTGTGTGTATCAGCCACTTGGCGTGAGCTGCTATTACCACGTGGCGATGATGATGGACAGGCCACTTGGTCTACACAGTGAGACCCCTTGACACCACCGCTGGTAACAAAACACAAACTCTCTGAGTGGTACCGGTGGCGTTTGAGTTGTCCGTGACCCACGGGGTGTCCCCCCCCCCCCGCCCCAGGTGCACGGACTGGATCCCGACACTTGGAACTCGGTGGAAGTCGTCCCCATCGACATAGCGGACAACTCGGTCGTGAGCCAGGCGGTGAGACGCACGGGGGAGACACGGGGGGGGGGGTGGGGGGAGAGACACGGAGGGAGAGACACGGGGGAGAGACAGACACAGGGGAGACACGAGGAGACACGGGGGAGACACGGGGGGAGAGAGACACGGGGGGAGACACACGGGGAGACACACGGGGAGAGACACGGGGGGAGACACGGGGGGGAGAGACACGGGGGGGGGGGAGACACGGGGGAGAGACACGGGGGGAGAGACACGGGGGGGGGGAGAGACACGGGGAGACCGGGGGGAGACACGGGGGAGACACGGGGGGGAGAGACACGGGGGGGGGGAGACACGGGGGGGGGGAGACACGGGACATGTGGGAGACACACGGAGGAGAGGACACGGGGGGGAGAGACACGTGTAACAGCACTTGCCCCTGCAGCCTGCGGGAGTCTACGTGCGGGCTACCTGGGGGAGCTTTGCCTCTATCTGTGTGCCCCCCCCCCCCCAGGACTACAAGAAGGAGGAGGACCCCAGCCTGGTGAGCTCCTCCAAGACCGGGAGAGGCCCCCTGGGACCCAAGTGGAAGGTACCACGTGGTGTGGGTGGGGTGGGGGGTGTGGGGGGGGGTGTGGGGGGTGGGGGAGTGTGGTGGGGAGTGGGGGGGTGTGTGGGGGGGGGGGTGTGTGGGGGTGTTGTGGGGGGGGGGGGGTGTGTGGGGGAGTGTGGTGGGGAGTGGGGGGGTGTGTGGGGGGGGGGGGTGTGTGGGGGTGTGTGGGGGGGGGGTGTG